AGTTCTTCTTCAGTTTGTTTGCACCTTAGAATGTTGCTACAAAATACTAAATGCTATACAAGCTCATGACAAGAAGAATCATAGAAGGTAAAAAGGAGAGTGTGGGAAAACCAAGACAAAATCAAATAATCCAGTCCCCAAATTTGCTAATTTGTGCAAGTCTCAATCAATGGACATGAAAGCATTTGAAGGTACCTGCTTTGCTCTATCACATTGTTCTTCCCACTTCAGTTGGGTCCAACCACTGCAGAGAAACTCTGAAAATCATATCTGACCCCTCTTTTCTGTTGTGGTCTTTTAGAACCCTTTTAAGATTTTAGAGCTCAATAAAACAAATCAGCAAGAAGTTTAAATCCAAATCTGGTCTTAGTTATTTATATCTTAATCAACCAGAAAGGAAATAAGTGGAGCAAAGAAAACCATGAGTTTAGAATTAGAATCATCCAAAATTTCATAATCTAGGAGAGGAAGGAAAGTGAATCAGTGAAGGGGCTGCATCTAGAGAGAGTGTTAAGACGGTAATGACGACATAAGAATAAGCATGGGACCTTTTCCTTATGGATACAATCAGCATAACAAGAACATGGAACCAGGTGTAGAGAAACATTACTTAAAGTGTTCTTTCATACACAACTTCCATCATTCAACAGCATAAGATCAGATTTTAGTCCCAAGATTGATAGTTAACAAAGAAGAATACAAATGGGTGAATCATAACAAATAATAGTTTTCCGATCCCATTGATTACATACGGTAACTAGGTGAAAAGCACTACATTTTATTATTGATAATGTTAGGTCTCAAGTTATATTGGCCAACTTGATATGAGACCAGCCAAATTGCTCAACCACTAAAAACAAATTGGATGACAAAGCTAGTATTACTTTTTATTATGATGTCTCATCCATATAAAAAATCATGATTAAGAGCATAAATGAATGAACATACTGCAATATTGCGTCTGAGCTTCCCCTCTGTCAAATTCAAAGAAGCAGGGAAAATACAATTACAAACACAACAATTCAAGAGAACCAAATCATAGCATACAAGAAGGTATTTATAGAACCCAATGCAACTCAAGTCATTAAAAAACAGAACAAGACCAAATTATCCAGCACCAGTCACCAGGCTGAACCTGTATCACTTTAAGGGTTAAGTAAGACATATATTCGGCATTCAGACCTCGATTTGAACACATATATACCTAGTCCATGAAGGATTAAAATATATTTGATTGGTTGGGATATTTTTTTATGGGAAGGAAAAGGGAGAAGAATGAAGAAGACACTAGAATGAAGAAGAGTGGCCGAGAGAACGGAGAATGATCTAGAGGAAGAATAAAATAATTATATTTGGGTAGATTTTTTGGGTTTTAAGTCGGTTCCCTTCTAGTATAAAAGGAGCAACTTGGTTTGTTTGTAAAGTGTGGAGAAAAGTGAGAAGAGGAAAAGAAAGAAAGAAAAGAGAGAGGGAGTGACGTGAGTAAGAGAGGAGTGTGGTGAGTTGTGAGAGAGAAGTTATAGTGTGGTGAGTTGTATGTTAGTAGTGGGAGCTCTTGTTTTGTAAAATAATAAAATCAGTCACTTGAGTTTGTAATAGTTGTATTGTTTCCCACTAAGTTTAAAAAGTGTTGTTTAGAGCATACCCGATCCAAAACTCAACAAGTGGTATCAGAGCCAAGGTTATGCTGAGTATGCTCTGTGGTTGCAGCCTAGTCTAAACTTTCACATCAAAAAGGTAACGCTGAGTATGCTCTGTGGTTGCAGCTAAGTCTGATTTTCCACATTAGAAAAGTTATCCTTGGAATATTTGATACATTGTTGAAAAGCTAAAGATCTAGGGGGGATCCGAGGATCTCTTAATACCCGATTTTCCCAGGAAATGGGAGGATCATGATAATCGCTTAAAATCTCATTTCCTTAGACGTGCATCTCTTTATAAAGAGTCGAAGTAAGTGGCGCTATGTATTCGATTAAATTATTTCAAATTTATTATATATTCGACTAAGTACATTAGCAAAATAAAAAGAAAGATAAATGATGAAGAATTGTATGTACCGGGTGATCGTTCCAAAACATCCTTTGAACGATGGTTGGGTTGGTCATACAAGTTGGTCGGATCAATAGGCTCTTGATCCAAATAGTACCGTTGGTTGTATATATTCACGTCGTCCCCAACCTACGAGAGAATAACAACAAGGTTAGTACATAGATTAATTAAAAGAGTTTTTTCCAATTCTAGCACCATTAAAAAAAAATTACAAAACTAGCACCCAAATAAAAAAAATTTACAATTGTAGCACCTTTTCTAACGGAACGCACCCCTAAGGTGCGTTTTATTAACGAACCGCACCTTTCAGGTGCGTTTCAAGTGTAAACCGCACCTTAGAGGTGCGTTCCGTGCCACGTCAGCACGCGAACCGCAGCGCCAAGATGCGGTCCTCTGTTTTTGTGGAACGGTCTTGAAGACCGTTGGATGGGGGCACAATCCGACCGCTGAACGCGCCCTAGCGGAGCGATCCGCGCCACAGATCGGGGAACGCGTCTTCGAGGTGCGGTCAACTCTCGAGAAACGCAAACCGCCTCGGCAAGATGCGGTTTCCCTGAGGGTAAAATTACCCGACCGCCCCTGGAGGGTGCGGTCTAATGGGTATAAATACCCCACCTTCCCCTCTCATTTCTTCACACCACAACACATTCTTCCTTCTCTCTCTACAATTTATCTCTCTAAAGCCTCCTCTCCCAAAAGCCTAGGAAATAGTGGTATGTTGGTTGCGGCTAAGTCCGATCTGCCATTAGAAAATATTTCTTAGGTTTTTTCCTCAAAACCCGCCGAGCCGAAACTCTGTCCGAATTGCGCTGAAAAAATTGCCGATTGGTGGCAAGGAGAAGGAGTTTATGTTGATGAATTTCAAGCGGTATGTACTCATTATTCTGGTTTAATTTTTGTTGTTGTTATAAGTTTTTTAATTAATCTATGTACTAACCTCGTTGTTATTTTCTCATAGGTTGGGGAGGACGTCGATATATACAACCAACGGTTTTATCTCGAGCAAGGACAGTTGGATTGAACCGACTTGTATGACCAACCCAACCATCGGTCAAGGAATGTTTGGAACGCTCACCCGGTACATACAATTCTTCACCATTCGTCCTTCTTTTATTTTGTTAATGTGCCTAATGTAATATAAAATAAATTTATGTTGATTTTTTAATCGTGTTGGTGGTTTTCAATAATTTAATCGAATACATAGCGCCACTTACTTCGACTCTTTATAAAGAGATGCACGTCTAAGGAAATTGGGTTTTAAGCGATTATCATATCCTCCCATTACCTGGGAAAACCGGATATTAAGAGATCCTCGGATCCCCCCTTTTTCTGTCAAAAAGACTGCGTTTCTAAGAAGATGTATACCTCTTCTAAGAGTCTAACGAGTGTTGCTTTATATTCGATTAAATTATTTAAAACAACCAATACGATTAAATTATTTACCAAACAACCAATACGATTTATTTTTATGTGCATAAAAAGTATTTTATTAATTTCAAACATTTGAATATGTATGTTTCTATTTAAATTATTATTTATTAACAATTTTATTTATGTTAATTAATTTAGTATGTTTGTTTTACGATAATATGTATGTACCTCTTTAAATTATTATTCATTGACAATGTTATTATGTTAATTAATTTAGGACGTTTGTTTTATGATAATATGATAATATGAAATGTCTTTTTATGATAATAAAATTCTCTCCTTGTCGCATAATTTAATTTAATTAATTTAGTTATAAGAAAAAAAAACCCTTACTAATATATAATAATTAACGTGTAAATTTTTGTTAGGAGGCACAAACAATAATCCGCTACAGGGGTACCACCAATGTGCTCCCATTCCACCCAGCTATCTTGCCCTTTCTCAAAAGGGCACGGTTAGACTCGATTAGGCATTTTAACGGCATCCAAATTGATCGCCAACTCATCACCGCATTAGCCGAGAGATGGAGAAAGGAGACCCATTGTTTCAACTTTAGAGAATGAGAGGCCACCATCACGCTAAAGGATGTCGCCATCCTAACCCATCTGCCCATCGACGGCAAACCGGTGTGCGTGAGTGATCATCCCCCCGAGGATCGTGACGGTATGCCCGGTTGGGTTCATTTCATCCACAGTCATTTGGGAGTGAAAGTACCGATGAAGGGTTGCGTTGATGCGACCGATCGCATTCCACCAATGAGGAAACACCAAGTCTCAATTACATGGTTGACGAAGTATTTTAGAGACCATTACGAGAGTCATCCCCTAACCGAGGAAAGTCCGGAGGATGAGAAGGAGAGATATGCTCGTGTCTATCTCATATGCATGATCGGAGGAGTGTTCTTCTCCAAGAAATCAAACAATCTCCTTAGTTGTGGATGGCTTAGGATCCTCTTCAGTAGTTGGGAGGAGATGGGGGAGTATAGTTGGGCATCTGCTTGCCTAGCTATGATCTACCACAACTTGTGCAATGAGTCTCTAAAAGCTGTGAGGGAGGTCAGCGGCGCAATGTTCATCGTCCAATTTTGGACTTGGGAGCATATGCCATGGATTGCACCGGCCCAACGTCCAGACAGGGATTGGCCAATTGATCATCCCCTAAGAGGTGAAGCTTATGGTACAAGGTAAACTTCTCATACCCCATCATGTAGTCATAACACATTTTCCCTTGTGTTTTATCTTATTGTAGTTTCATTATTGTCTTATTAATAAGGTGGCTCGGACACACCACATGCGACAACCTTGTCCAACACAAGTTAGACGAGTATCGGAGGAGGTTTGAGCGATTTTGGGAAGGAGAGGTAACTTCTATACTGCGATCCATTTATATTTTTTTTCATTGGACTACATGTATTTTTCTAATTAATTAATTTACGTTACTCATTTCTTTCTTGTAGATCGTCTTCGATCCATACCCGGAGAACATCGTTCAATGGCATCTCCAGCAATTCCCCGGTCATATCGGGCAATGGTGCACGAGGGTTCCTCTAATTTGTTTTGGGACCATGGAGTGGCACTTGCCGGATCTATGCCTCCGTCAGTTTGGTCGGGAGCAGTGCATTCCGTTGGAGGTCCCCGATAGTCAAAGGGCCTTCCATGGCCGAGATGGTCGGCAAGGTACTCGCGATTGGCCCACGAAGTTGAAGGAATTCATCGCGATTTGGGAGAACCGACAATTACAGGATTTGTCACTCCAAATCAAGTGGGCCGAATGGGGTATCATGACCCATACTTGGATCGATATCGGCAAACATCGGTTCGTTACATGACTCCGGAAGGTGCGGCCGATGGTGCATTAGTAAGTATAACCAGTCTAAACATACTATGATTTATTACTTGGTTCCTAAATCTCTTTCTAACTTTTTTTTGTGATTTAGGCTGATGGGGTCGAGCGGATCAAAGATATGACTACCGGAAGAACTGAGTTGGGCAATGAAGATGTGAGCTTCATTAGGAGGATGGCAAACAGTCTACTTTGCTGTATCAGAGCTCAGGGCCGGGATCATCGTAGATATCCGCCCGTGCCCGCACCCCCACCACCTCCGGTACAACTTGATGTCCCCGCACCCCCACCACCATACGAGAGAAAGAAGAGCAAGAGGGTTCGGGAAAGGCCCAACGTGCCCGAGGTAACGCCATATGGGGGGTGGAGAGTGCCGCCCCCATTGGTTGTGACACATGGTGCCGAACCAAGTTCCACCCAAGGTGCCGGACCGAGTTCCACCCAAGCTCCCCGCCCGTCCTCCGCCCCATCTCCCCGCCCGACTTCATCCCAAGATGCCGGCCCGACTTCATCCCAAGAATTCCGCCCCTCCTACCACAACGATCACCACCAAAGCTCATACTACGATCCCCGCTCGACCTACCATCAATCCTCTCAGAGTTTCTACCAATCCCCATATGATCCCACCCCGATCTCATACAACGATCCTCGCCAAACATACTACGATTCCCGCCCTATCTACCCCCAATCTCCCCGCCAAACATCATCTGGGACTTGGCATGATGGTTCCTCCACGACAGGCCAACACGAGTTCAACCCATGGAATCGCCCTCATCAGTAGTGGCCTACTACTCCTCACCGTATGAGCGCCGATGTCGCCCGCTCACCCCGGAAGTGTCGCTTCCCCGCTGACATAGCACCGACGAGCGCCACACTACCTCGGCCGTTCGAAACTTGCCACCCCCACCACCTATTGTTACTCCCGTCGGCAAACGTACAAGGAGCAAGAAAACTGTGGGTTCCGGTGAAGCTCGTGAACTTCCTTGAGATGTTTTTGAGTTTATTTTTATCTCTATGTACTTGGAACTATTCCCTTTATTCTATTTTATTTCATTGAGTGTTGATCAAATTGTTATTATGACGATTCCTCTTCACTTGATATAATCCCAATTCGTTCAATCAACAATACACAATTAAATGCAACGTAAGAGTTACAACTAGCTTGACGAATGATAATCGGAAATTATGTCGCATTAGCTAAGTCCGACACATCAGCACCCGGATTTTGCGGACCAATCGGTCCTGGACACCTTCGTTTATCATGTCCCGGAACTTTGCATATTGAACATCGTCTTGGGCCTCGTGGTGGTCTTCCACTTTGATCCATTTCATTCTGAATTCTCTTTTTCCTCGGGCGACCCGGTTCACGCCTCTGTCCGAATGGCGGGACGATCAATTTCCCTTCGTACATCGACCAATAAGCTTCATCAGGCAATGCACGGAAACTCCGTCCATAGGTGTTTTTGAGTGAGTCGATATTGAAGAATGGACTAACGAAGTGACGGGGGTCTTTGCTCCTGTTTTTAATTACGGCCATTGCATGAGAACAAGGCCACCCTCTCCCCTGATACTTCTGGCATGAGCACTCACCAACTTTGGTCCTGAAATTGACCAAAACTTCATGACAGTAGCCCCCCCGTCTACCATCCTCCCGATGTCCGGTCGTCACGCTATACTCACCAGTTGCCCGATTCATAACGGTTACACTATGTCGACTGCTCTTGCGATTGTCATTATCCATTACTTCAGTGAATTTATAGGAATGGACCTTTCCCTATGCCTCGTTCGTCCTTGCCCAGTGGAGTCGGTTCACGAACCATGCATTCGTTTTCCAAAAAGTCATCTCCACAATGGCAGAGATTGGCAGTGCACGAACGGCCTTGTAGACAGAGTTGACACTCTCACTTGACTTGGTTGTAGCAATACCCCATCTTTTCCCTCCATCTTTATGAAATGTCCACATGGATAGATCGTGTCCATCCAGCCACTGTGCCCCTTCGGGGCATAACTCCCGCATCTTCTGCAACTTCTCCTGAAATTTTTTCTCCTGGTATGCAACCGCTGAATAACACACAGAAAAGTAGTACGTTAGTCAATGATCCTCAGTTTAGTACAATTTCAAACAACACGTACTCTCATTAGACTCTTAGGAGAGGTATACATCTCCTTAGAAACACAGCCTGTTTGACAGAAAAGGGGGGATCCGAAGATCGCTTAAAACCCGATTTTCCCAGGAAATGGGAGGACCATGATAATCGCTTAAAACCCCATTTCCTTAGGCATGCATCTCTTTAGAAAGAGTCTAACAAGTGCACCACTCCCCATATTACAAGATATTTTTAATTGAGAGCAATAAAGAGGTTACCAATCCACCACAAATTATCAGCTAGCTTCTTCCGCTTGAAATGATGGTTCCAGTTGCTCTTGAAGTGTCGTATGCACCACCTTTGGGACCAATTCCAGGTTGGATCCAGGCCTAAGATGGCAGCTCTAATGCCGGCGTTCCGATCAGAGATTATTGTCAGGTTCGTCCTCCTAGTGACGTGGAGCCGAAGTTGTCGAAAAAACCATCCATAGCTATCAGCATTCTCTCCCTCTACAATGGCGAAGGCTAAAGGAAAGACTTGTCTATTTGCATTCGCCCCACTGGCAATCAGGAGAGTGCCCTTGTACTTGCCGGTAAGGAATGTACCATCCACAGTAATCACAGGGATACAAACGCCAAAACCATCAATAGATGGCTTGAATGCCCAAAACAGTCTGCGGAAATGGCGTTCGTTACCTGGCTCTGGGGGTTGTATCTCTTCATCTTGGTATCGAGGGGAGAACACAGTGTCAGGGTTAGACGCCTCCAATGCCAGTATTAACCTGGGAAGGAATGCATATGATTCTTCCCAATCACCAAAGACGGCGGCCAGAGCTTTCTGCTTTCCATGCCACGCCTTCTTATAGTTAATCATATAACCATAACGACTTGCAATGTCAGTGATTATGACTTTCACCTTCAGATCCGGTTCGGCCTCAATCAGATGCTTGATAGCCGCAGCAACCACCCTGGATTTCAAGTGTCGATGGCCTTGGGAAGTTATGGATGACACACATGTGTGTGTGTTCACCGCACGAGATATGACCCAGTGGCCGTGCCTCTTGCTGTTGATGGCCCGAATCCTAACATTGCACCCCTCGTGATGATTACGGCATCTGACTATGAGCCTATTGGTGTTGGAATGAGTTGTGTGCCATTCAAAATGCCGAGTCATTGCTTCAGTCTCAATGGCGTGCCTCACCTCCTTCTTCGAGCCAAATTGTTGGACTTCGTAAACCCAGTGAGTGGGCCCCATATTGGGACCTCTGGCGGCTCCATGTCGCTGTCGACCATCCAATTGTCGTCTGGAATGTGATTGTAGTAGGGGACTGGTACATGTTCAGGAGCCACATCATGATCATTATCTAAATCTGAATCTGGTCCTGAATCATCAGCACCTTCAAGAGGGTCGGAGCTGTCTGCACTGACGTTGTTCTCTCCTTCTTCATCGGAGGGGTCGCTGACTGGTGCTGGTATGGCAGCTTCCATCTGATCCAGCTCATGAAAGGGACCTTCATCAGCTCCATAATGGTAGTTGTGAAAACTACCGCTGCCTGATTGGAAGTTGTACTGGGCTTGGTTGGGGAGGTCCGGTTGAACTTCTTCATATGACGAGAAAGATTGATGATGGCCTTCACCTTGCTCTTGCTCTTGGTACTGAAAATAGGAATGAGAATCATGGTAACTTTGGTAGGGATGATCGCCATATAATTCACCTCCACCATGGATACCAGATGTTTGACCGTGTCCAGAATGACCTCCAACACCAACGGCTGGCTCGGTGTAAACGAACATCTCGGCTTTGGCCAATTTGTTGGACCTCAAGAATTCGAGCATGGAATCTACTTCATCTTGAGTGGTTATGGTATATTCCTCATGCCACAATGACCCACTTTCTCTGTTTGGATATCGGTACACCATACGATCTACTCTTCTCGTGCCATCCATGCAAGTAACGTTAGTGCATATTTGATGGAGGTCTTCAAGCTTCGGTCTGGTAGCGACCTTTATTTTCTGAAAATTGCCACCGACATAGGTGGCCCCCTTTCCGATCTCTTCCGTGTAACCATTCCACCGTAAGCCAAGCGTGAACTGACGGAATGCCATCTGCACACAAAAAAACCGTAGTTCATTTAATATCAAAAAATCACAAATCACAAATAACAATAAAAAGTAACACAAATTAAACTTACGAGTTAATGTTAATGGCAAAAACACTAAAGAAATATAGAGATACAACATAAAAATGAAAAGAGAGAAGGAGAGGTGTGAAGAGTAGAGGTTTTCCGGGCAAAACCGCACCTTAGATATGGGGGGTGCGGTCTGTGTGGCTAAACCGCACCTTAGATATGCGGTTTGGTTTTGGAAGAATAAACCGCATCCCTAAGGAGCGGTTTGCCTAGGTCAGGCCAAAACCGCACCTCGGCCATGCGTTTTGTGTAGGCCAGAGGTGAAAACGCATGGCCAAAATGAGGTTTAGCCCCCGGAAAATGGATCGCACCCTACAGGTGCGGTTTATATATAAAACGCACCTGGAGGATGCGGTTTATATATAAAACGCACCACAAGGCTGCGGTCCAAAAAAAGGGTGCAAGTTTTGTAAATATTTTTGGTAGGGTGCTAGTTTTCTAATTTTTTTTAAGGTGCTATTTATGGAAAAAACTCTAATTAAAAAGTTTATAACAAAACCAAAAATTGACCAAAATAATGATTACGTACCGCTTGAAATTCATCATAATAAACTCCCTCTTCTTGGAACCACTCGTCCATTTTCTCGCGTAAGTCGGACAGAAATTCGGCGGGGGGGGGGGGGGGGGGGTTTGAGGGAAAAACTAAAGAAATGTTTTTTTATGGTAGATCGGACTTAGCCGCAACCAACTGACCACGATTTCCTAGGCTTTTGGGAGGGGAGGGGAGGGGTTAGAGAGATAATTCTAGAGAGAGAGTGGAGAATGGTTGGTGGTGTGAAAAAATGAGAGGGGGAGGGGGGAGGGGGTATTTATACCCATCAGACTACACCCTCCAGGGGTAGTCTGCTAATTTTGCCCCAGGTCAAACCGCACCCTACCGAGGCACTTTACAATCCCCG